TCACTGAAACAACTGTTTGCTTTTGCCAGAGAGCACCAAGTATCCTTTGAAGACATCAGGTTTCAAAACCCTAATGCTCCCAGTAGTCCAGCAACTGTTCTGCTGAGTAGGACATTAAAGTCCTCAGAGGACATCACACATGTTAAAGTGACAAATTCCCAGGGTGGGGTGCTGGCAGCAGAAACAACATTTGCAGATGGACCCTTGAAAATGCACATTCTGATACAGTTTGTTTTGGGTAAATAGTTTAGTTTTAATAATGACTTCAGTGACGTGACCAATTAATGTGGAAATAGCTTTTAGCATGACTGAAGAACAAGCAACGGGCAAATTTAACAGTGACTGATGGCTGCGCTGGAGGAAGGGGTGGAAAAGGCAAGAGGCCGAATTCTTGAAAAGTGGTAGTAACTTGGAATCATATGATTTGACAATTCTTGGTATTTTTTCAAGAAGAGTGAAATATCACTAAAATATTCTTTAAAGCACAAAATGAATAAAAACACATTTCTGATAGTTTATGAAATCTTAGTAAATATCTAGGTGATTAATAAAAATGATAGGCTTTAACCATAACAGGCTGCAATTCAAAGGAAAAATTAAAGGGAAAAATGTGTTTTATGCTAATATCCCCAAATCAGGTATCTAACTTTGCAAGATGATAAAAGAAAGCAGCTGATTGCCAAGATGTGGTACTCTTTTGTGAAGAGTATTCAATGACCCTATACAATTGTCATTTGTAAAGTGATTAAGTTGCCCCTGGGGAGCCAGATGGATTACAGTACTGCTGAGGTTGACATTATACTTGTCTGAAACCATTCTGCATGAGGTACAACTCTGACAGCTCTCCATGCAATTTCTAATTTTATCCTGTGCTTCCCATTCCACTATATTTATTTATTCTTTTTTTGGTGCCAGGAGTGAAGCCAGGGTCTTGTGGGTTTTAATCCTGAGCTCTACCAGAGAGCTGCCCCTACCCTTCCATTTCATTATTTCCCTTTCTCTCCTAAGATCTCTCTTGGATCTTCCCACCTAAAGCTGAGCGGAAGAGAGTTAAGTTGGAGGAAAACAAAACAATTCAAAAGCGGTCTAGAGGAGTCAGGCTGGGCCACCAAATTCTAAGAACTTAATTCCAGAATGGAGAGGTGTTTATGGGTCAACCGTCTTTCAGGGCGTAAGTCTTCATTTCCCAATTTTCTATTTGCTGCAACTAGCTTCGGTTTCATAGAGAAGATGCTTGTTATTGCATCATCGAATGGAGGCAATAGGACACTGAGCCCCCACTCCCACCTCATTGCCCGCCAATAACCCATGTCAAGGAACAGTACTCTGTTCGCATCTCATAAATGCTATCAAATTTAAGTATTTTTTCATTTCCAATTTTAGAGTTCTCAATTTGCTTTCACAAAAAGATTATTCTTGCCGCCTTCATACTTTGTCCTCATAAAGTGTAGACGGAAAACCTCTAAAGAGAGAAAGCAGTAGCCTAAGAAAACGAGTCTAAGAGGCTCATGGCTAAATGCACTAGAAAAAACCATGTCAATGTGATTATTACAAAATAGATTGGTATGCCTTATCCATGCCGGCATATATACACACACCCTAGACATGCTCCTTTAAATAAAATTAAGTCAGAGATGCTATTTAAATAAAAGGTTTGGCTCTACTTTTAATAAGATATATGTTTGGAAATCAATTATCACTCATACTGTCATCCCTGGTTGATTTGCTGTAGAATCTCTTGGAGTGCTTTTTGTTGTTGTTGTCACTTGAAACAGGGTCTTACCATGTAGCCCAGGCTGGCTTTGAACTCCAGATTCTCCTGCCTCAGCTTCCTGAGTGCTGGAATTACAGGCAATGCACTCCAGATCTCTCTGAAGGTTTGTTTAAAAGTTGAGATTCCAACGCTCCATCCCAGGCATACTTAGACAGAATTGCTAAATTTGCAGTCCTGGAGTTCATGTTTAGTAAGCTTCACGGGTGTTTCTTATTTTCAGAGAGAGAGAGAGAGAGAGAGAGTCTAAACAAAATATAAGGAAGATAATCGAGAATTTTTGCATGAGGGCCTTATTTAGTTTGTTATTTAGTGTGTTTCTTCTATAACCTGACCAAGATAGTCACACACTTTGGTCTATCTTTGCTCATGTAGATAAAAATAAGAGTCAACTGAGGTACTTTTTTACTTGTTGGATGTGTTGTTTTGTTCGTTTATGTCAAACCAAAGTCAATGTAAATTTCCTTTCTTCTCTAGACAAATTCAGACCATGGGGTTCACGTAGGCCTGGAGAAAGATATTGTTAAGTACTTTCTTACTAACTGCACCTTGAAGATTTCTGCTGGCCCTTTATCCATCATTCTTTCAATACACACTTACATACTTCTAGGTCTCCTTGTGTGGTCGGTTTTCATGAACTTAGGGTGTGGCTTAACCAGTTATGTCAAAAGTTAGACATTACTGTGCCAACTTGCAGGGCAAGCTGCGTCAAAAATTGGATAGATGTGGGCAGCCTAGAAAACAAGATTTTAACTGCTATTCTGACTTTACTAGGAAGTTTTCCTTTTAAAAGGAACCTTAAACTGCAATTAAAGTAGATAAGAAGAAAAGGCTGCATAATAGAGGGTGCCCGTGATGATTCTAAAAGAAGAAAGGAGTGTAAGTATTATTTTAGCATATGCATGGTAAGGGGGCTCCGTAGGTTTAGCCCCAGCTTTCACTCAACTGACTGGTTGTTTTCTCTTGTGATTTTTCATGAAATGCATTTATTCATGGGAATGAATATGCTGTGGAACCCATAAAAGTAGCACATACATTGCTTTAAAAAATGCAGTGATCCCTTTGAACATCTAAAGGATGTTTTTAAAAGCTCAGCATGCTTGTCCGTGTGATTTCACTATCACAATACAAATTTCATGATATGACATGCAAACTTGCAAATCATTGTTACCCTAAGAAAATGCAGGTGTGCCTAAGATGCAAGATCAGACATTTGCTTCACTTTAAAACTCAAAACAAACACTAGGGAACATCCCCTAGTGGTTTGGGTTTTACTAATTTGTAAATGAAAGTGACAACATTTAGAAGACAATCTCTGTATTCTGAAGTCATTCTCCATTCAAGGCTTGGGGTATTGGGAGTCACCTTGGTTATCCTTTTTGCTTTCAGACAATATTAAGTAAGTTTAACATACTCAAGAAGATTTCCCTGTACAACTTTGAGCATTTTTAAAATAAATCATTGAGTTCATGCCTAAATTTTTAGGTTTCCAGCCCAAATGTGTAATATTGTTATGCCCAAACCTACATGTAGGATGCCTACATAATTTGTGAGGCCTCATGCAAAATGAAAATTCAGAAAAACTTGTTAACAAGTATTAGAGTTTCAAAGTACTGATGGCAAAACATTTAAATGAGGGTGGATCCACCTAGGAATGAAGTGCCATTAAATGTGGGTCCTTGTGAGAGTGAGGCTGGATACAGTTGCAAAGGTGGCACAGCAACTAAGCCAGCTCTGCCTATCGGACCTTTGGAACCAGACAACTAGTAGATTTTCTAATGCTCTGAGAATCACACCAAGGTCAGTTAATTCTATTGGCTTTGCTGATTTAGTCTTTCTGAAGAAATACACATGTAAGATGACATACTTGAAAAAGAATCGTGGGTGTAAAAAGACAGCTGCAGATAGTTGTCATCCTAACTTGTTAACAGGAAGAAATAAAAACTGCAGAGGGCAAGATATGTAGCATGCGGGAAGTGTTGGAAAATGGGGGTAAAGCTGAATAGGTTCTATGCAAAGGGGAATCAAGCTTGCTGATGTTAGGTTTGAGCGGGCTTGCTCTACCTAGACAGTAGCTGGGCTGAGCTGTGAGCTTATGGCGACATTATGATTGAGAAGATGGAAATGCCTTTCTTTAAGACAGTGTGAGGATGCTAGAGACCTGGAATATTAATGAGTTGCTCCACATGGAAACAAGAGAGTGGGGGGCTTTCTCTCTAGGGATTCTTACTTGCAAGGATGCTGTCACTTCCTCATGAAGCACAGAGCACACAGACGCTGTGTTACCAGTGCCGGTGTCTCCGTCTGCCCTGGTCCTGGCTGGGGACAGAGAACTTGAGTGGTCAAGGAGCATTGGCAAAGACTACAGGACACTGATGGAGCAGCAATTTCCAAGCTAAGAAGGCCTAGCCAAGAAGCTTGGGGCAAATACAGGGGAAAGCGAATTGAAGAAACATATTGCTTTGAATAAGTCACAATGGGTGTGACAGACACCTGGGAAGCAAGACGTGTACCTCCAAATGTCACTAGCTAGTTAGTCTGATTGTTTTCCATGTAAAAATAATGAGGAAGGGAGGGAGGGATGGGGAGGGAAAAGAGGGAGGGAAGGCGAGAAACAGGGAGGAAGAGAGGGAAGACAGAGAGGAGAGGGCGGGAAGGAGGAAAATGTCTTAGGACACTGTCAATCAAAGGCTCCTGTCCCCAGTCTTACCCTCGTGCCCATTTCAGCTTTCTTATCTGTTTCTCCTTTTTGGATAGAGGGAATTTCATGTGCTGAACTACGAGAGATACCTGGACCCGGGGTAGGAAATGGGGAGAAAGCAGACACTTTACAGGCGACCTGTCATTCCTTAGAGAGTTCTAAGTCCCTGCATGTCACCTAGGCCCTCGTCCTTCCTTCAAGAAGAACACCTTTCTTCACAGGCCCTGGCCTGCTCTCACCTGACGTTTACCTGGAAGGCGGGAAGGGCTGGGAGAAGGCAGGAGGGCGTTAGTGAGGATTGTGGAGGCGTCTGCGAGGGGGTCGGACCACACGGGGACCCGCGCAGCACGGGAAACTGCTCGGCATCGCCCTCCCCTGGAGCGCCCGGGCGTACAGCCCCTTAGACCTGCCCACGGGCCCTCTGTCACTCACACTCCTTCCAGCCAATGGCGCGGCAGCCTGTCACCCTCACCCCACCCCTCGAGGGAGAGCAGGGAAGGAGGTCGGCTAGGAGGGCTGGGGGCTGGAGTTGAATGATTGAACTTTCCAGCAGAGTTGCGGCGACCGCGAGGTTCCTGGCAGAGCTGCCCCGGCGCGGAGCTGGGAGCCTCGGCCAGCGCCCGGCGCCCGCGCCCTCTACCCTCAGCCATGGTGCCCCGGGCGCCCCGCGCGGCCCTGACCCTCTGCCTCTGGCTGACCGCCTTTGGGGGCTGCCTGGCCGCGAGCCCCGGAACGGCGGCTGCGCGGCGTCTGGACGAGTCCCTGTCTGCGGGCAGCGTCCAGCGCGCCCGCTGCGCCTCCAGGTGCCTCAGCCTGCAGATCACGCGCATCTCCGCCTTCTTCCAGCACTTCCAGGTACGCAGAGCCTCTCGCCCGCTTGGGATCCTCCCTGGAGCTGCAGGCGCGGCTTGGGAGGGGGGGGGCGCACTGGGGCGCAAAGTTCTCGCCCAGCTCGGCCGGCCGATCCCGGCTTTCCCGCGGCGTGGATTTTACAATTGGGGGCTCGAACTCTCCCCTCCAGCCTCCTCCCTGTTAGAGAAACCAACAGCATCTTTCCCCAACTTCCCTTTTCCCAGGGGAAACCGAAAGGCGAGTTCGGGGAGAGGGAGCGCAGTTCTGTGCATTTCCCGGGTGTGTGTGTATTTGTTAGTTTCCCGAGACTTGAGTGCGCGCGACTCTCGGCCGGTGGCCGCAAACTCCCGGGCGCTCCGGGGCCCTCGGAGGCGCAAGCACCTAGCGCAAGTCCTCGAGGCGCGCCTGGCCGCGCCGTGCCCCAGCGCCGCAGGTGCCCATGGGCCCACACTCTTGTCTCTGTTGAGCCGTGGCTTTGTCACTCGGAGGGCCCGAAGGTCGCTGCCCACCCTTGGAGTCCCAGCGAGGGCACCCCTGCCAAGTTGTGTTCCAGGGTGTGTGGATTCATGTGTTGAGGGTGACGGTGGTTGTGCATGTCCCAGTGGAAGCTCCAAAGATTGAAGGTCTTTCTAAGGACTAGCGGAGGGCGGAAGGGAGGAGTTGCAGGAGATAGCGGGCTTATCGGGGCCGTGTTTGGATGCTCAGGGGACGCGTCCCGGAGTCAGGATCTTCCCCAGCTCATGTAGGTTCTTTCAGCTTGAGGGTGGAGAAAGTGTGTGTGTGTATGAGTGTGTGTGTGTGTGTGTGTGTGTGTGTGTGTGTATGTGTGTGTTGCAGGCTCAGGGAAGAGCACTCTTGGCGCCTGTGGATTGTCTAGACCCTGCACAGTAGCGGGGTACCCATCCGCAGGACTTGCGCAGAGATTCCGGGTGCGGGTGGGTATACCAGAGCATCTCCTGGACTCCCGTCTGCGGAGTCTCCCAGCCCAATGGAGCACGCAAGCTCTGAAATCACCCATCACATGCCTTATTTCTCTCATCTGCCAACTTTCTCTCTCCTTCTCGCCTCACCCTTAGCTGCCCACCTGTTCCAAGATCTCAACTTCTTACCCCAGCGCAAAGTGCGCAGGCCAGAAGGAGACATGAGTTCCCAGGAGAGGCTGGATGGAGCCCTCTGCGTTTAAACAAACTGGGCGCAGCTCGGGCCTGGGCGGGGTGCAGGGGGCTACAGGAATTCAGAAGTCAGAGCGGGGAGATAGAATAATGACAGTGGAGTTTCTGGGTGATTCCGGATAGCCCTAGGGATGTCCTTCCTACAGGTGTGCTAAAGAGTGGCACACATGTTGGGATCTTCAGAGATTGAACCCATTGGGGAAGTTTCCTTGTGCGTGAGTGAATGCGTGTGTGTGAGAAGTTGTTCCAAGTCAGAGAAGCAGAGTGAAGAGAAATGGCGGTCCTCCTGGGTCTGCGCTTGAAATTGCAGGGACATCCTGGAGCGTTTCGCTCCTCCTCACCCCTCACCCACCCCCAGGCACCTGGTTCAAAATCAATCCGCCCTACTCTGGAAGTCACTGTCCTGAGATGTTGTTATGCTATTGTTTCAACTACAGCCGGACACAAAAGAAAACCGAAAAGCCCTTTCCCAGAGAGGAAGAGTATCTTTCCCCTCTTTTTATTGAATTGTCAGTTGCAGTAATTTATTTGTTTTACAGTTGCAGCGGCTACAGAAGCAGTTTAGATCCAGCCAATTCCCGTGAAAGGCTTTTCTTGTGGTCTCTTGGCTTGATTTCTCTTCCCAAGAAAAACTGCTGTCAGAATACACATTGCCAGACAATCCCAATTACATTTTAATTAGCTGGGGTAAAATAAGCTGCAAATTACTCAGTTAGGACTTAATAATTACTGTTTTTTTACAATTAATTGCAAAGCCTTTCTTGGAGGTTTAACCCTAGGTAATGCCTATCTGATTTGTCTAAATTGCAGGGATTCGACTTTCATAAAATTTGAAAAGAAAGTACCATTCCTTGTAAAACCCCAAGCTTCCCTGTCCCCTGTTCCTTTCCCATCTTTTTTTTTTTAATAGTTGGAAGGACAGTGGAGGAATGAAACTGGAGCCAATGCTTGACACTGCATGGGGTTTTTTACTAATGGGGGAGGGGGGAGCCTGGGCTACAGGAACTCTGAGAAAGAGCCTGTTCACTCCACTCCATCTCCTGCAGTGAGCCCAGGCAGAAGCCTGTGTCTGGAGCAAGGGCTGGCTCACATCTTCTCTTGCAGGGTTCAAGACCTCTTCCTAAGGATGAGAGAAGGCTTGCCTCTAGCTTGGGTGCCAGCCAGTTGCGGAGAACTCCCAGGTGTGAAAGCTGCCAGACTTTGGCAGGAAGGACCTGCATTCAAAGTGTGGGAAGTGACTGGGATCCCTCAGGGACAGTGACCTGCTGCAGTAGGTCTGCAGACGAGGCTGGAAACCAATTGTCTCCACACCATTCCACTTTCTTGGATGGCCCAGCCCTGCAGCAGTTAGGTGGGAGAGCTGTAGGTAGATGTGCACACCTGGAATCTCCAGGTCACAGCCTGATGCATGCAGGTGGGAATGGTGATGGAGGATACTGGGTTATCCCCATCTTCTGTTCATCTGGAGGAGCCTAGAATTTCATGTTGAAAGGAAGATGTGCTCTGAAGCCCATCATTTATTACTAATGCTATCCCTCACTTGTGAAAAGAAATTGTGTGCTAGCACATCCCGAAGTTCAGTAGGCGGGTCTGTGATGCTTTGTACAGAGCATTTGGTTCATTGCTAGCTCAAGTTCACAAATATAGTACATGCATATGCTTCACGTCCTGCCAACTGAGGTGGTTGGGAAGAATATCTTGTCATTAGTAGAATGAAGAGGAGCTATGAGACCATATAGATGGACATCATGGGCAGATTGTGCTACCTTCCTGAATATCAAAGCCCTCATGTGCTGAGTGGTAGATGACCTTGTCCTCAGAGGTGAAAAGAGAACGTAGAACACATTAGAGATAATGCAAGGGATGGTGATAAAGGAGATAACAGGACCTGGAAGATTACTGAGGACCAGGCGCTCATCTGGGTGTGAATTCTATCTCATCTAATGAGCACGACACCACATGAGGCTAGTACTAGTTTTTATCCTCTAGTAATAGATAAGAAATCAGAGACACCAAGAAGAGTCATTAGTCACACAGCTATTAGACAGTGGAACTGGGTTCAGAGTACAAGCAGCTTCCAGTTTTAATTTTTTTTTTCTGGTTCATCACATTACTTTTTATTCTTTTTTTTATTCATATGTGCATACAAGGCTTGGTTCATTTCTCCCCCCTGCCCCCACCCCCTCCCTTACCACCCACTCCGCCCCCTCCCTCTCCCCCCCACCCCCTCAATACCCAGCAGAAACTATTTTGCCCTTATTTCTAATTTTGTTGTAGAGAGAGTATAAGCAATAATAGGAAGGAACAAGGGTTTTTGCTGGTTGAGATAAGGATAGCTATATAGGGCATTGACTCACATTGATTTCCTGTGCGTGTGTGTTACTTTCTAGGTTAATTCTTTTTGATCTAACCTTTTCTCTTAATTTTTAGAATTTTATTGTTTAGCTGGCTAATTTACTTCAGAACTGAGGACCTAATTTTCAGGGCTTCGCAAAAAATGAAAACATGTCTCTTTCTTCCAACAGTAAGAAAAAAAGCATTTGTTAGAGGTATTAAAAAAAAAACCCTTCCCATTTTTTTGCAGCTCCTCTCCCTTGAGTTGTCATCACATTTTAAATATATTACTCAATGCTGCTGTCAGCACAGAAACATTTAAATTATTAGTATGAAGCTCACAGATCATCTTTATATTGTGCAGTGCTGCGTTTACATGTAATTTGGATGTAGAATCACTAGCATTGTGCAATTGGGAACTCCCCCAAACACTTTGAGATGTGCCTCATGAGCACTGTGCAAGAGGATCTTGTAGGTGCCTGGGGCCCTGGGCACACACATGCTTGTGCTGGCATGATGCTGGCCAGGGTCCTATTCTGCCAGCTGCTGGACCAACACATTGTATTCTGCCCTGACAGAAAGCTAGGTTCCTTCCTTGCCTAACACCAGATGTTCAAACCCACAACAGATGAGTAGCCCCCAGGTGTATTATTGTAGCTCCCTCAGTGGCTCTGCTAGCTGCTTGGCTCAGGGGCGGGCAAACTCTTTGTCTCTGCTGAGTTTTAGTCTCTGGCTGTCCGCTGTGATGCTACCAGCGTGGGCTAGGGGCAGATGCCACCATGCTCTGGGACACTGCAGGACATGGTTACCTAAAACCGGACTCTCTCTGTACCTGCCTTCACACCCATGCCCCTGCAGGGGGTACAGTTGGCAGAAATGGCGGGTTGGAACATGAGGAGAGGAGGCCTATGGGTTGGGGATGCCAAGGAATGGCAGACTGAGCAGTGAAAGCTTGCCCTGGAAAAGTGAGGGGACAGTGGGAAGCAGAATCACATGTGACCTGAGGCTCCCACACACTACACACAGACTCAAAGCAAAAAGTCATTAAGAATTGCAATGTGGCGATCACAGAGCCTGACACCCTCGGTGCAGCTCCCCTTCTGGGCATGGAGCACTGAGCAAAATGCACTGGTCATCTACCTTATGAGGCCAGTCTTGTGTCCTGTATATCAAGAACACAGAGCTCGGAAATTGTAAGTTTGCTTAGCATGGTGTAACTTCACAGTATCATCTGTACAGTTCAAGGGTATGATGTGGACGTACTTATATTCACTTGGGGAGAATACCCTCAACAGTAATTTTCTCAGCTTTATTAAAGGATTAAATAAGGAGGTGATACCTGAGATAGGCCTTGTCTCTTTTTTGGTGAATTTTGTTTAACCTTTTGTATTAAGCACATTCATGGGGACATTCATGGTGGAGACTCCCACCTTTTGTTCCCCCCAGCTGCTTTTGGTGGGCAGAGAAGAACTGAGTCTCAGAGGCTTAAAAATACTT